CGACAAATGTTTTGGAATACGGAATAGTAAAGGGCAGGCTATGCTGAGTACGCTGATCTGAAAATTCTATGTGATGAATTCCTTTTTCGAAAAGCTTCACAGACGAAGATGGACTTGGCGATCTCCTAATGGACAAGGGCTCGAAGAGATAGATTACGTATTGACACGGTAACCCAGAATATTAACTAATTACTGTTCTCAACAAGTTTAATGCTGGAAGTGACTACAGACGTTTTCGGGCTGATTCGACATCCGGCGTATAAAGCGTGACCGTCTTGAGCTTATCCATCTATCTGCCACCTACGCCGACCAGGACACTAACAACCAAGTCCACCGAAGCTGTTTACTCCCTCTTACTTTACTGAGCTTTAAGGAATACACGACAATCCCGTTCAGCCTCTCACCCATCGAATCGTGAATTACTTAATAACTGCGGGCGAGTTAAGGATAGCTGCTTCAAACATTCGCGGAAACACTGCCCGAGGCATCGATGGAATCCGATATAAAGTTGTAAAGTATGGAGTGAAGATTGTTGAGCACAATTAGCAGATATCATCAACCGATTGTTTGAGGAAGGTAGCATACCCAGTGAATTTGCATATGCTTCAATAGTTCTACTTCACAAGAAGGGCGATTGGTGTGAATCAAAAACTACCGCCCAATCTCTCTTACCTTTATTGTACAAGGTCCCGACAAGAGCTTGTCCACCGAATAGAAAAAAGGTAAATAAAACGTCTTTCTGTTGAGCAAGCCTGTTTTCGACGAACGTTTCCAACTATCGACCACTTGCAAACCATCAAACAATCATTGAGAAAACCCATAAATACCGTCTACCAATTGCACTTCTTTTCCTCGACTTTGAAAAAGCTCTCGATACTATCAATTTCAACCCATTGTGGGAAGCTCTTGCGTACTTTTGAGTAGATAATGACACGATTTTGATGATACAACTATCATATCAAACTGCAACAGCCTCACTTCAACTTAACAATATCAATACTTCTTTCAAAATACATAGAGAAGTCCGTCAAGGCGATGCATTGCCTTCACTCATTTTCATCACAGTACGCCGTGTCTGCAGTACGCGATCGAATCCATACAATGGGAAGAAGGAGAAGGATATGACATTGGTGGAAAGCACTTACGTTGCCTTGCCGCGGATGACGTTATATTCGTAGGTCTCAGTCCAAGTCATTTAGAATCAATGGCTGTGAAGCTTCTTTGTGCATGTTTTCAAACTGGAGTTCAAATCAATGGCCACAAAACCATGTGGATGGACGAAGACATAGACACCACTTGGACGAGCTCGGTAATCACACTGAATTTCAATGTCATTGAACGCGTAGGCTTCGTATATCTTGGACAGCTAATTCAATGCCCACGCAGTCATGATAAAGAAAAGTGCAGCGTGGAATGCATTTTGAAAAGTACGACAATCTCTCGGCAGTCGAAATGTTGCTGTTCATCTCAGACGCCGTTACTTCAGTTAATGTTCCAACGCTTTAAACGGTTGTGAAACTTGGGCAATGACTAAGAACTCGCTGCTTCCGTGAAACTTCTTCGAGCCAAAGATCGATGGAACGATCAATGTTAGGATTTCATTTGAAAAACCAAAAATCTTCAAAATGGATACGTTCTATCACGAAACTGAAATGTAGTCGTAATAGCTCGTCGAAAAAATGGTGATTTGCTGAAAGAATACTAAGAAAAGAATGCGATGAAAGATGGACAGACATGCTTACACGTTGGATTCCACCTACTGGCCGACGTTTCGGTGATGGAAAACCTAGAACGAGATAGGAAGACAACATCCTCAAGCATTGCAAGATATATAAGCCTAATTGTAATTGGCAGGAAATTCTAAAATCTTGAAGTAATTGGTAGAGTCGTAAGTCATAGTTTTGTTAGACTATAAATAAGACTATCCTAAGACAGGCCTTTACCCCAGGTAGCTAAAGGGTAGATCTACTAGAGCTGCTACAGTGTCCACGACAAAACCGATGTTATGACTATGGTCTACGACTAACTGATTATGTTTATTGAGCGTTACTAATAATTTGTTTTCATTTGAACGAGACTCATGGAGTCGCAGGAGAGTGCCCCCATGTCCACTCCCACTTGTAATACCCATCGTAATCTCCCAATTTTTGAACAAAAGTGTGGTCCTCTTTTCAAGGAGTTTTTGAAGTTTTTATTGAAGACTATAACCTTACGACAAAATTAAGACTCATTTATCTGGGTAGTAGGGTTATAAATGATTGAATGGTTTTTGGAATAGTAAGATAAATAATAGTAATTGTCTGCAGTAAAAAGGATCTGAATGATGTGAAAATTGCTTATGAAAGCCTATCAGGAAAACGTTAATAAAAAGGCATTAATAGATTGGGCACGTATAACCGGACCACCAAGGAAAAAGTTGGTGCTTTTACTAAACGATTTCGCACAAGATATAGTCAAGTAAGTCTACTAAATACGATTGCTTTGTTTTCCTAAAGTAGTTATATAGATCCAAGTTCACGTGAAAGGCGTTTTCATGGCCATCCCCTGCAGGATTCTATGGCAATCATATGGCTATGCGGTTATATCAATCCAAACATGAATATTGATTACGAATTGAATATACGTCGAATATTGACTACGGATTTTAGGCTAGAATGTCTTATGACTTCTGGAAGCATTTCTCAGTGATGGAAGGAAGGCTTTGTACGAATATAACAAATTCTAAGGAACTGAAATCAAAATGAGTAGAAAGAAAACTTTTCCTATAGCTGAACAAGAACGTCTAGGGTGGGATTTGAGATAGTCATCTTATTTATTGGATGATAAGTTATTTTAAGCAAAGGTTATTTATGAGGAAGAAGATCGCGACGCGTACGTTAGTGAAAGCTTAAAGGGTCAAGATGTCACTCTAAAAAAAGGTTTATTGAAAATAGGCGACAATGAGGTATATCTAGAATTATATCTATAGTGCTTACTTATCTACCATAGACATAATTACTCGGTGAAACTAGTTATTGTCAGTTGTGTTGCTGAATTTGAATACAACTGGTTGGCATGGTCTTCCACCAGAAAAAGACAAGGGAAGTACTTTTAACACATTGACGACCAAGGCGTTTCAAGGACCGGTCAGCATTTTTTAGATAAAATCACGAGCAATTTTATCTACAGTACACCTACAGTAACTCTGAAGTGCTAGCAGAAACAGTAAAGGTTGTGTCTAGATCCAGCACAAAAGAAAACTCCCAGAGTGGGTTTAATCTTATATATAAAGCTGAATGTCTGTTTGTATGTCTGTATGTATGTCTGTATGTATGTCTGTCTGTCTGTCTGTACGTATGTTCCGAATAGAAAATTCCATTTCTGAACCGATCGGGACCAAACTTGGCACATATACACTTCGGGCCCCGGCGGGTGTCATAGGCTACTTTTCGTCATCGATCGATATCGATTTTATCGATTTTTTGCAAAATTTGAGCTACGGGGCTGGGAGTTGGCACAGGGGGGTAATCGAGCATGCTGATCACCCCCGTGGGGGTGATCAGCATGCTCGATAAGATGAAGCCTTTGGCAGCCTAGACCAAGCGCAGTAATCCGGATTCGTCTACAAATTATTGCTGGAGATTGTCTCCTTTGGTCTATTAAGAAAGAAACAAAATTTAGGGGTATGTCGATATTTGGCGTCCTCACAAATTCGAACGAGTCGATGTACGCAAGAGCTGCTGGGGACGACCGTCAATGACCAAAGAGTCCGAAGCTCAAATTTTGCCGAGACTTTACATAGTAAGGTTATTTGACCTGCCAAACGCGAATATCACATTCATTTGTTGGATCAACGCCTTTATCCTTGTTTAGGGTGAGACCCCATATCGGCACCTACAGTGATCCTACAAAAAGCCCTTATCACGCAATTTCACTATCGTTTTCGTGATCAGCATGTAGAATAGCACCCCTATGCCAAGTTTCAGCCAAATCCGTCAACCTTTGAATTTTCCCCTTCATACCATGCACCTACCGTAACCCCCACTGCGACGTCAGAATTTGGCAGGACAGAGCTGCACTTGTAGCTTACGTAATAGCCAACGCAGTGGCAAAATTTGAGTGCGCCATGTTGAGTGAGAGGGAAGTTATGAGACCAGTTGCAAAACTTAGTTTCCAACCTAATAGTAGTCATTTCAACGATACAGATGGTGTGTCAAGCCTTGACACACCATGTGTTACCCTGCCAAGGTCGTCAAAGTGTTAATGGCCGTGACCTGATATGTGATGCATACCATTTAAAGCAGCTTGGAACGCTGATTTCAAATCCGCTTTCCTTTCTCAGACAATCCATGGGAATTTCCCGAGGTCTGTGAGGGAACTTTCCTCGGGTCACCTGCGGAAGTTTCCGTGAAGAGCTCGGGAAGTTTGCAAAAAAGTCCTCGGGAAGTTCGCAAGAAGTGAGAAATCTACCGAGAACTTATCTACAGAACTTCCTAAGGGCTTCAGATTGGCTCTGCGTAGCTGTACCGAACCTTGATGATGAATCCTGCTACTTCAAGAGCCGCACCCTTAGTACAGCTACTCAAAGTAGTGTAGTAGTAAGGGTGGCAGTGAGATATAAAGTAAGCATGTACTGAATATAGAGGTAAGCGGGGAGTAAGTAAATGAAGCAGTGATTAATGAGAAAAAAAATGCTTAACTATTGAGGCAGAGCACGATGTTACATGAGAAGACTTATGATGGATCAGAAATTAAGCATCAGGATCAAACAGGACAGCGACAGGAACAAATTCCACTATAGCGCTTTCCTCTTCCATTCTGACTTCGTCATACTTGCCTTGTCCTCTCTACCAAATCCCACCTGCGTAGCCTTGTATTTCTGGAAAACAAATTTTTAGTATAAAAACAACTGAGACTAGGTTTGAACCTTTGAAGGCACAAGTTTTCCTTGGTTGAGGCGATGATAACGGACATCCTCGCTGTAAAACTGAATTTAGAGGTAAAAGACGATTCTGGAAAACTTACAGTGCTTCTGCGATACAGGTCCTGATTTGGACGCAGTAGAAAGTTTTCTGCTCCAGCAGATAGTTTAATTTTTTCTCGCGTTCTTCATCGGATGTACCCAAAGAGATCCAAAAACTAAATCATTTGAGTAGTTAAAGACTGCTTACGAAACACCAACGCACCTAGTGCGCAAGCTTCTTATCGCATTCAATCTGTATCCCTCCAAATCCTCGTTGCCGAGGCTAAGCGCATCCAACATGAAATCTAAAGAAATGATTTGAATGAGGACTTCTTACATGACTAGTTTTGTACCATTGAGTGTGATAACTATAGACTCAGGCAGATCTTGTAAATCCGGCTTGCGCGATACATTAGATGTGCGATGTGCAAAATCCCATATATCTGAGGGATCTGGTCCACAAGCCTACAAATTTCGCTGTAGTCAACTCATATTTACTTAACTAGATTTTTTTATTATATTTACATGTTCATTTGTTATGAAATTTATGAACATGAATGGCCAACCTGTTTAAAGACCACACGTAGAAAGTCACTGATGACGAGCGCAGTCTTGTGTTTGACTCTACTTGGAGCTGTGTAGCCGGCGAGAAGCTCGTTGAGGTCTTTGGTTAATTTTTGATCCTAACTACTACCTTGAATGGTGAACTATGCTTGATTATGTGGTGTTTCTTGAGGATTATCATGGCTGAAGCTTATGGTGGAAGAAGACTCACTGATTCCGCTAGTAAGCTTGTTGCAGATCTGTCGCAGTACATGGATTTGAGACTCGAGATCTCTGTTCTTTGCTAGCAGAAGATTAACCTGTAGCGAGCAATGCTAATTCAAATGCTTAAGCATGACGAATCCTATTTTCCCCCTTAACCGATACATAAAAGTCTTCACAGTTGCACTCACCAGCACGCGGTTGGATATCGCGTTTTCTACTAAGAGGTGCGTTGTCTCGATGTTATCAAATAAAGAAATTCCATGCCTAAAACGCTCGGCGCTCTGCACCAATCTAGACAGATCCTGAGCTCCGCTGTGCTAGTGCCATGTAAGACAGTATAACAGGCAAAAAAGAGCAGCTTGTCCTGGTAGTCTAAAGGCTATGATACAGTTCTTCTCTCCAAAATTGCTCAAACAAAATATTACCTAGCTCTACCACGTCTAACGCCAGCTTCTCCGAGTGCTACCGTTTCATTAGCAGCAACGTCACTAAGATCTGCCGTCTCCTCAGCAACAATTTGGCTGGGGCCTACCTCTTCGTCGGCGGCAGCTTGGGCTAATGTAGAGAGTAAAGCCGCAGGTTCGCTACTCGTACTCGGCGCAAGGCTCAATCGAGCACGTCTAGCCTGCTAAACTCGAAAAACAGTTTCTCGAACCGCTGCAGCTACGCCCACTTATTTTACATATTAAGGCTAATCATCACACTGTTTTGCAACCCCACTGCAACCCATTTTATTGTCTTCATTGTTATCTCATTTCCTCGGTCTTCCGTTTTGTTTTCTTAACTTGTAACAAATTTTGTCCCTATTATGCCTCTCAAACGGTTGATTTTATTTCATATCTAGTGCCTAGAAAGACAGTAAATATCACCGAACCGCCGGTATCCTCCACTTCAATTCCAGCCCACTCACTACGTCGCCCCGATGACGATTACGCCGAATGGTCTCCATTTCTTAAACATCTGCGCTAAAAAATGGGGATGAAGTTCGCATGATTTATTTGAAAGTTTGGGATGATAGATTGAGTACGAGAATAGTATAAAGTAAGGTGAAGATGTTAAGTAAACACCAAAAGAGAGATGGACATCGATGGATGAGATAGCGAATTTGAAAAGCAAATAATTTACTACGCTTGTTCACAAAAAGCAGATCTGAGGATATCCATGAGAATAACACATTTAGTACAGGCAAATCTAAGCTCATGGAAATGTATGTTGTTGAGAGAGACAGTACCATTCAACTAGAAACTGATATGAACTGACATTAAAAAATGGCTCGACCCGCTAAGGCTTTGGCCATACTTTACGTGTTACTGGTCTTACCCGTGTTACTCGTTTTCTCGTATTACCATTGTTACTAGTGTTAGGCCCGGGAAAGACTTCACGCGATTTGATCGTCGCGATTCAATCGCCGACATTTCCATTCATCTCATTTCACATTCAAAAATTTCGTGCTGGAAAAGTATCACAACTAAAATGCAAGTTGATCGGCATGGAATGATGTTGTAACAGTTGTCTCGTCGCGATTCAGTCGCGACGATCAAATCGCGTGAAGTCTGTCCAGGGCTTACCCGTATTACCCGTGTTACTTACTCACCACCAGTCAATGAGATCGCATTTAGAATGAGCCTGTATTTGTGATCATTTCACTACTTAAAGCACTAAAAGCAGTGAAAGCAGTAACACTTAACATTAGCAACACAGGTTACATTGGTAACACGGGTAACACGGATAAAGTATGGCCAAAGCCTAATGGACCTATGAATTCGAGCATCAAAAGATTCCACCAAAGCAATCGTGCAAAAATACCCTTTTCACAACTTTAGTTTCAACCATACATAAGCGCTGTTTCTGCTGTTAGCAGGCAGTTTTCCACCGTCAGTTGTTGTCAACGTTCTGTTGCTACTGTTATTTGCTACCCCTGCTACTGCTGTTAGATGATGGAACGTACAATCAAGTCTCATTTCTCCATACGAGTTTTCAATGATTAGGTAAAAGCAGCAACATCAGTAACGAGGATACAGCGGTAACATCAGCAACAGCGGCAACAATTGATAGCGACTATACAAGATAGTGGCATGGCAAGAATCCAAATAGACACAAAGAAGATATTTCACTCCATAAGATAAACAAAAATGTGAGTGAAATACGAAATGTCTTACTAGGTTGCATGAAGCGAAATGTGGGTGAAGAGAATAGAGGGTGAAAGAAAGTGGAAAGATGGGAAATGAATAAAAAATCCTCGAACAACTTCATTAATCTCTTGCGTAAAGATTATTGTATATTCTCATTAGTAATCTCTAATGTGCACAGTTTCGGAAAGAAAGCAAGAAAGCAGTGCTAAATCAGAGAGGAAAACAGAAAACTTTTACATAAAGTTGGGTTGAAATGTGGCTAACGACAAACTACGATTGATGTTAGGTAAACCGACCACACTCACCTGAAAGTCGATTTGCTTCCCTCCTACAGTCGAAACCTGTCAAAGTTCTCTGTTGGTCTCGTCTATTGTTGGTGAATGCCAGCACTGAAAACAATGCACATTGGAAAAAGAGAAAGTTTGCTGGTTACAGCTTCAGTAAGAAAAGCAGTGCCAAATTAAAAAAAGAAAGAAACATTATCATAGAAGTGAGTTGAAGCATAACTAGTGTCAAATAAAGGGCAATCACGCTCACCTGAAAGTCGACTTGTGCCCTCAAAGTAGAAGGTTAGAACTATTTGTTCGTCGCGACTATATTCGGTTAATGCCCTTGCTCTAAAAAATTCACGCTAGAAAAGAGGAAAGAAGAAATCTAATTTAGAAAGAATTGTAAGCGCAGTTTAGAAATCATCAAATCGCGGGAAACCGCGGTGCGGTCCCGAAGCGCACGCACATATAGCACCTTCACATAACTGCTTCACTAGTAGGAGGAGAAAAGATCGAAATTACAGGCACTCGACTAGGAACCAGAGCCTAAATACTACCTAAGATAACACTCCTATTTACACAATTTGAATTGCTAAACTTTCACCATCATAACAAATTGACAGATAGCAATATTGGCAGTAGCAGACTAGAAATAGCGCAAGTGCATTGTTACGAATTACAGAAAAGAAAGCAAGGAGAATCAGACGCTGAAAAAGACTTGCTTAAATGCATGTTTTCCTCTCTATATACAAAACAGCACAAAGTCACATTTAGAAGGATTTCGAAATACGTAAAAATCATGAGTAAATGTAAAGTCAAAAGGAGTCATTTCCTTATTACATGGTGGATCATAACAGCCGCGCTCGCAAAGAGCTGTACAATAGATGGTCGCACATATATCAAGGTAATCAGATAGCCGGATCATCTATTTGCTTGTTTTGGCTCTGGGTCATAGCTTCACACCTCGCACTGCGACAGAGGACGGTAATTATGAAAGTAACAAGCAAGAGGTCACTTCACTCTTAGCGACAAGTGATGCAAATGCATTTGAATAATGCCACATGAAAAGAAGAGAAGTCAGTCAATTTACAGAATAAAACGAGAGCACGATAGAAAAGAAACACTACAAGTACCCCACTTGCGCTAAATCAGATATCGCACTGATCATTACATAAGTTTGATGAAAACTCTGTGACTTTTTACGACACTTCAGTCATTAGAATGAACGTAGCGTTATTACGAAATACCGCGAAGCTCTCGGAAAATTCCCTTTTCTTGAAAGCTTTCGGAAAGTTTCGCATTTATAGATACTTCCCGAGGAAATCCTCGAAAAGTTCCTAACTGCGTTGCTCCTGATGTCGAAGTTTTTGGGAAACTTCTTTGCGCTTCCATTCACCTCTGTGTTAAATGAGTTCTTCGGGAAGTTTGTCAAAATGGCTTGTTTTCGAAAAGCTCCCGTGAATTGTCTGAGTTTTCTGCGGAGCGGTCTTCTGAAGAGAGTTATGGAAGAGCCTGAATATCCTGTTTTGGGGCGCTCCTTAAGTTTGAGGACGCTGCTACGTGCGTTGGTGGTGCAGTGGTGTAATGATTAAGTTGTTGGCAAGAAAGGCGAAAGGTCGATGGTTCGAATCCCTTTTAATCAAGTTCATTTGAAAGGTTTTGAACGCCACTCCAATGTTGTTCCCCTAGTAACTCAATGGGTACTTGCGAGCATGCGGATTGCGCGGAGGTTTTCTTCACACGCTGTTCCCGTTGTGAGAAATGTCTGTGTTTTGCTCACTTTGTAATTTCGCTTAAATTCTGTACATGAATTTTTTTGGGGAGAAGACCAAATCTCAACAAGCAAGCGGTTCCGCCACAAAATTTTTTCCTTAAGTCACATTTGCCAAGGGCACTACAGTAAGTGTCTGCAAACGAATTAGAGCGGTTTTTAAACTCACGTAGTGCAAAATGGTACGCTCTGCACTGGATTCGAACAAACGGCCTTTCGCCTTCAAGCCAACAACTAACCATTACACCACTGCACCACCAACGAACGTAGCAGCGTCCTCAAACTCAAGGATCCCCCCCCCCCCCCCCAAAATAGGATTTTCAGGGTTCCATGACTCTCTTCAGAAAAGCGCTCCGCAGAAAAGGAAAGCAGATTTAGAATCAGCGTTCAAAGCTGCTTCAGATGATATGCATGTCATATCAAAAGGCCACGGCCATTAAAAGTATCTTCCTCGTGAGTTTACTGAGTAGAGGTGAACAAACTTCTATACTGCGATTGTAATAAATTATATATAAATAGTATGATAACTTTGGAATGGATCTATGAAAAGGGGAAGTTGGAAATTTCCTGATGATGTACTCAGAAATAATGTTGGGAAAGAAGTAGTAATAGAACAAGAAATGAAATTAGTGGATTGTGAATTAGAAGAAACTTAAACTAAAGGATCGTAAAGCTTGTGTAGATAAATATTTGATGAGAATATATTTATTACATAATAAAAAAGATGAGTTGTGAAAATCTGTCTATGCGACAGTGCGACCCAGTTGGTTGAAGAAAACAAAAGCCTCCCAGTTGGGCTCAAAAATTATTAGGTTGAACACTAAGTTTTGCAACTTGTTTCATAACTTCACTCTCATTCAACATGGCGCACTCAAACTTTGGCATCATGTAGAATGCAATGTGAGCTACAAGCGAGCACAAATTATCTGAATTTTGAACACGAAATAGAAAAGTTTCAGGCATTTTTCGAAAATTAGTGATTGAGAATTTTTGAGGTTTCAAGCTAAAATGAAGCCTTTAGCAGCCTAGACAACATGCGCAGTAATCCGGATTCGTCTACAAATTATTGCTGGAGGTTGACTACTTTGGCCTAGTAAGAAAGAAACAAAATTCAGGGGCATGTCGAAATTTGGCGTCCTCACAAAGTCGAACGAGCCGATGTACGCAAGAGCTGCTGGGGACGACCGTCAATGACTAAAGAGTCCGAAGCTCAGATTTCTCCGAGACTTCACTTAGTAAGGTTATTTAACCTGCCGAACGCGAATATCATATTCATTTGTTGAATCAACGCCTTTTTCCTTGTTTAGGGTGAGACCCCATATCGGCACCTACAGTGATCCTACAAAAAATTTTTCGGAATTTCACTATCGTTTTCGTGATCAGCATGTCGGATAACACTTCTATGCCAAGTTTCAGCCAAATCCGTCAAACTTTGAATTTTTCCCCTTTATACAATACAACTACCGTAACCCTCACTGCGACGTCAGAATTTGGTAGGACAGCAGCTGCGCTTGTAGCTTACGTAATAGCCAACACAGTGGCAAAATTTGAGTGCACCATGTTGAGTGAGAGGGAAGTTATGAGACCAGTTGCAAAACTTAATGTTCAACCTAATATATAAATTGCGGTTAATAAGACGGGTAATTTTGATTTTGTAATTTGATCTTTTTAACATGAAAATTTTTTGAGGTGATCAAAAACCCATAAATGGTACTAATATCCAGTTGAATCGGAAAAAATCCTCGAATTAACCATCAGACATTAGCGTAATAAACAT